AAAACATTTGAATAGTTCATCACATTAAACCAATTCGATTAAGCTGAATCAAGATCAAACTTCATATAATAAACTTTGATGAACACCAAACAAAATTTGAAGTGGAAGGACATTTACCTGGTTTGTTCGACTCGATTTCCACATCTACATCACTTCGACTCCACATGCATCAAGGACCCGGGTTACCATCGCTTTGATTTGCAGTCTCCTTCGTTTTCTTCCCAATAGGAGAGAAGTCGATAATACACACAGCTCCCTCGCCTCGATTCGATTCGATTTCCATACCTCAATCGATTCAACTCGACATGCAAGAAGGACCCAGATTCCTCCACTCGATTTGAATCAATCGCTTTTGTTTTCTTCGCAGAAAGGAGATTGAGCTGTTGTATGTTTTTTGCGAAGAAGAAAGTTTTGTTTTGAGAAAATTAATTAAAAAAAAAATTTAACCCCGCGGCCAATCAGATTATGCCACGTATACGTCTCTCATGGGCTCTTAAAACTCTTCTGAGAGAAACGTCTCTCTCTCTTATTACCATTTTTGATTTATTTTTAATTACAATTAACCTTAAAAACAGGTAAAGAAACCTCCATTGTAGGTGGTCTTAAGATGGCAAAGAGAGTAAACCCCTTTCTCGTGGGAAAGGATAAAGTATTTATAGGAAGTTATCTGACTCGAGTTAGTATACTAGATCATCCCATAGATTGTGAGTCGGGTGGGTTGATAACACCTGATTTTGATCATTTTTATGGATCACTTTCAGTATCTTATGCACGTGTTTTCAATCACTTATGAAGATTTTATAAGTGTTTTCCATGTTTCGGAGTTTTAAAATACTTTTCAGGTTACTTAGGCAAAAACAATGCAAATTGAAGAAAAATTCACTTTTGGCCAATATCAGACCGTCCGAAGTTTCATATCCTATGAAGACCTTCTTACCGTCTGATCAAGCTCCAATTTGGCCAAAAGATATAGGACACAACCTGCTTTCAAATGCAAGAAGAATCAAAGCAATCTAACGGTTGGATCATAAGTTATTTCCAATTTACTGAAGACATGTTCTGCAGTCTCGCGAAAGAAGCAAGAGAAGGAATGAAGTTTGGAGATCATAGACCAACCACCGCGGCCCAGGAGCTCGTGACCGCGGTGAATACCATCCTGGCCACGCCTGAGAGCCTTCAACCACGGTGAACCGGCATTTACCAGACTTGGAGAAGCCCAATTCTGCGACCAGCCCATAAACGGTCCAATGGCATGTTTTCAAGCCCAATTCATTCTCTCTGCAAAAGAAGCCCTAAGGACGATCAGAAACACTTGGAGACCTATAAATATGTATTTTAGAAAACCAAATTTCGTGTGTGCTTCTTTCCCCTTGATAGGGAGGCACCAAACTTTTGTTTCTTAGGTTTAGATTAGGGAGATAGAGATTTTTCTCTTGAACCTTTGATCTTTCTTTTCATCAATCTATTCAATTTATGCAATCTCTTTTACTTTACTGCTTTTCTATTTCAAAACCATTGATGATGTTGTCAAGCTCAGCCATGTCTGAGTAGTCACCTTGTTGGGTAAGAGGGCCATCAAAAGGGACCCCATGATCGATGACATCTAAGTTTTTTAGGTTAAAGGATTTCAATTTTAAATGATTCTCCCATTCATCCAAATCTCAATGTGGTAATGCTGGAGTAGCTAACCAGTGTCCGATCTTAGGTTAAATCCGAGCCACGAGAGTGTTGTATCTGGGTTGCCTAAACTGGATCTTATGGACATCACCATCATAGGAGACAAAAGCTACCTACGGAGGATACGTAAGCCGAAATGGATTCCTAGCTGAAATGCATGATCTTAATCCGGCATGAGAGAGAGAGTTACTTGCCGAGATTAAGTGATTAGATGATTAGGGTGACGAGAGTTGGCTAATCTTACAAGTGTCTATCCTAATTTCAGAATCATAGAAAATCCTTACCTAGATTCCTTGTGTCATAGATCATGAACCCTAGAGATGAACCCTAAAACCCAGCACGTTTTTCATCCTTGTTTTGATCTATTTTTATTTCTTGTTTAGCTTAGTAAAATCGTGACACCAAAACCCCACAAAAAAAAACCTCATTGGTCTTTGACTTTGATTACTAATCCAGTGTGAAGTTTCTGCAGAAAAGACAACTCTCCCTGTGGATCGACACCCTAAGTACTACAACGCACGGCTGTGCACTTGCAGACACTAGGGTTTACAAATTTAAAATTATTTTCCGACATCAACCCTAGCTTGTATCATGGGTTCGGTCCTTAACCCGACTTGACTGGGCTCGAATCTTGTGCTTATGTCATGCCTTTGACGGTCTCACTAGCTTTCCTTGAAGTGTTCTGTCTGCTTCCTGACCGTCCATTGGCGCGTCCTTTTCGCTCTCAGTGTACGAGTTGGGTCGGCGGTTCAGATGCGGTATGGCCCTCGCTGAACTTCTGCTTTTCCCCCTGACTCCTGCGAAAGGTCACTGTCACCTGTCACGCGTAACGAAAACGCATTAAATGCCAATCTTGTGAGTTTGTAAAGGTATGGGTAATCAAATCAAACTAAGGCATATTCCTATTGTTGAATGAAAGGAAATTTGAATAGTGTTCCTGCTTAAGAAGTTTATTTATACATGGCACAAATTCCTTGATATTGGGACCGGGCTGCCGCGGATGGATGATTTTCCTCTCCGGGTACCTGTGCGGGCCACACTTCTTTATATCACATAGCTTAGGTCTAAGACATAGAGAATGTGACCTCTTCTTCTCTCGACCATTCAATTTCCGACTTTTTTTTGTCTCTGACAGCATAACCTACGCTATCAGGCACGAGGAAAATGAGAACAAGTGGCCTATCGTGTTAGATCTCCCGAATGGATTCGAGCCCTGTTCTATAAGATTAGGCCGTAGTGGCCCAATACACATCCTAATTTGGCCCAAAAAGGTAGTACCTGCAAAAAAGTCATATACGCCATTGCAAGCACGTGATTCGTTCACGTAGGAATGATTGAATTTATCTGTTATCTCTATTTGCTCCATTTCTAAATGATCGTTGGGGTGTATATAATTTTAAGTCTTTTAGAGGTAGATAAACTAATTTAAATTTTTTTACCGCTAGTAATTTTTCAAGTATTATATAATGTTTAGCTAGTACTAATTGATTCAGTTTTATAAAGGTAACCTATTTTATTCTCTAGAGCATATGTTTCAAACCATATGAAAAATGTAATCTTAGTTTCCACTGTTTTCATATGATTATATCATATTTCTCGATAGCTAAGATTTGTTTTCTTAGAAAAAGTTATAAAATACCATTATATTTTAATTTTATTTATTTGGATAAAAATTCTTTTTAATGTATTTATTGTTTATCTACCCCAAAGTTCTTAGAAATAACATTTATTGATTTAAAATCGGAAAATGTTGGAGAAGTAGGAAAATTAGATCTTACTTCAGAGTTTTGAATATGATGTGCTATCGGTGCTAGAAAATTAACTGATTTTTTCTCTCGATTTTTAGTTAAAATTTGTTCTATACTTTTTTCTGATTTAGTATAGTTCTACCAGTTCTATAATCAGAAAAAGAGGATCTAGGATAAAATGAGCTAATTCTTAATAAGGATGGTTCTCTAAAAGATCCAAATTTTAATAGTATTTTTCCATCCTTTTGTTTTGTTGTACTAGAAATAGCTTTTTTGCTCAAAATTTTTAGTGGTTGAGTAATATCTATTTTTCATTGATCAGAAATAGTTATTTCTGTTTATTTTAGTCATTTGGTGTGTAGGTAAATGTAGGAGTTGCTTTACTATGTACTGCTAGTATAGTTGTTTTGCCTTTATCATTTTGCAATAAACATCTTGGATTAAACTCAGATATAGATTGATTAAATAAATTTAATACAACAATAAGTAGTCATGTCTTTCTTGTTAAAAAATTAATTTTAGGTAAGTGTACATTTAATACTAATATAGTAAATATAGCAGGGTTATGTAAACTTACTTGAAATTTTGGAACACAAACAAAATATAGTACTGCTCCATTAAATAAATTTGATTATACTGCTCCTAAGGAGTTTTCAAATTTTAATAAATTTTTATCTCTTACTAACATAAGTATAGGGAAATTTACTTCCGTTTAAGATAGAGATGGAATTGTTATTTGTATTAATCCAAAATAAATATAATTAAATTTATTTTGTCTATAATTTTTTAATGCCATAAAAGAAAGTTAAATTTTTTTTCAAATCCATTTTGCAGTGATATAGTTTGTTTATGTTTTTTTATTGAATATGTAGTTTTAAAATCAAAAATTCTTATCTGATATGTATTGTTAACATAAGGTAACTGATCATGTAATATTTCTTTATTAAAAGTTGTAATTTTTAATATTATTTCTCTTGAATTAATTGTTTTTTGAGATGCAGAAGAAGCAACATGTTTCGACTTAAAACTATTTCTTAACTGAAGATGCCATGCTATAAACTCTAGTTAGACTTTATGTGAAATGCAATCTAATCCGAACTTTTCAAAGACAAATAAAACTGTGGTTTACCAATGGTCTTATTTCCTTTAGGACTTACAGGACACCTCGACACTTTTGTTAAATGCTGATAGAATGCTTTTAACAAGAGATCCAAGATTAGCCTAACCAAAAAACAAATTTGAAAATGTAAAAAAAAAAAAAGAACTTGTGTTATTTTTCTTGGACTAGTTATGAGTTATTTATCCAATGCCACAACATTGACTTCACTTCTCCATATATCTTTTATACAAATACAACTGACTATGCACCTGAAGTTTCATTGGTAGGACAAAATCTCATTTGCCTAATTTACACCTCATTTCATGCACTTCATGCAATATACTTTACAGCTCCATTTCATATTCAAGCAGACTTTATTTTTGACATATGAATGCACTAGAAAATATCATAGAGACGAATTCAAGTAATTCAACGATTACATAATCCAAACATTATATCGAAAGAATTTTTCGGAAATTTATCCGGTACAATAAGTTCCAACAACAGTAAAGAAGCTTAGACACCGTTGCAACAATTGTAACGAAGGTTATAGAACATCTCAGCCCGTGAATTATTATTTTGCAGTAAAAAATCTCATACCGAAACCTGAAGAGACAAAATAACATAAGCAAAAGAAAAGAAAAAAAAAGCTTAGAGGATGGTGGTTTCAGCGATCATGGAGGTCACAAGATAAGGATCCATGTTAGAAGAAGGCCTTCGATCTTCAAAATAGCCTTTCCCTTCTTTCTCTGTATCTCTTCCTACTCTCACCGATTTTCCACGATCCGCCACTCCCTATACTCCCAACAAATCAAAATCATATCAAAAACTTGTATAGTTTAAGATCATAAACACCAAAATATTGATTTGACTTTTGATTCTATCTTATCATACCCAAGTGAACTCGTTGATGTCTGCTGTTTCATGCTTCCCGGTCATACGCCTCTCGTTCCCTTCACCATAAGCCGCAATGTGCTGTTTATGTTTCACTTGAAGCTTCTCTATTGCTTTCTTAATCACATCAAATCCTCCATCTTTCCTCATTGAATTTGTACTGAAGTTTGTATGAGCCGCTGCTCCGTTCCAATCACCCTAATCATCAAAAACATAACTCAAATCAAGAAAACGTTCAAGAAAACTCCACGACAACTACAACAAGAAAGCCTTAATGATCATAAAAACCACCTCGACTGGTTTGGGATCGAATGAGACAATCACACCGCAGATCTCAGTGATTCTCTGTCAAGAATACTCGTATGATAAATAGTTTTAAAGAAACAATGTTATGTTTTAGTGCAAAGAAACAAAAATGATTTAGCTATATCGTTTGTTTTTCACCTCGAGAATGTAACGAGCAACCCATAATTGGTCACCTGCACCAACACCAACAGTAGGACTGATTTGAAACTCCCATTGTCCAGGCATGACTTCACCATTAGCACCACCTATGTTTAAACCAGCGTAAAGACAAGCTTTATAATGAGCATCCACAATGTCACGACCAAAGGCTTTGTCTGCACCAATTGCACAATAGTATGGTCCCTGTTTTCATCATAGACAAAAAAAAACAATTATTCGTTAACATGTTCTTAATATTTTATGAGTTAGTGTATGAAATTTAATGGAAGTAAGTGTACCTGAGGACCAGGAAAGCCACCAAGAGGCCAACCTAATGGCCACTTGATGTCTTTCTTAAGTAATGTGTATTCTTGTTCTATCCCAAACCTAATAAAACAACACTGTAATATATCATATCAAATCTTAACCGAATTAACCAAACTGAAATGTATTCCAAAACAGATCGGTATCAAATGTTCTACACCTAAACAAAGGTTAGACTTAGCCCGATTCTAGTCATACCGAAATGAATCAATTTAAAATTTCAAGAAAATATATTTCTTAAATCAACACATACTAATATATATATATATATATATATATATATATATATATATTACAATTACACATACTAAAATATGTTTGTATTTTATTTAACTAATCAAAAGAGGGTATCTATTGTCCTAGACCAAACCGGTCACAAACCGAAAACCAAAGTGAAATAGATTGGGCTATATAACTGATAAAATGTCCACAGGCTCTGTATTAACTTACCATGGCTCTTCAGCCTTCACATTGGGATGGTCGAAGATTTTTACGGCCTTGTTCCTATTGTTGGTCGGAATTGGATCTCCGGCCGGTGTGTAAGCATCGCACATCACCTGGTTTAATATTCAAGAAAATTTTAAATTTTATGATCAACTAATTAAAAACAAAAAGAGTGAAAATTCAGATGAGCTTTACCAAAATGTTGTTCCCCCTCCTGAACGGGTCTTTGAATATCGCCTGAGGACTTTTTTTTGTTTGCATTCATTCATTCCAAAAATGACATTAATAAAAAAAAAAAAAATCATTTTACTTAAAATTATGTGTAATTTGGTGATGAAGAAGAATAGAAGATTACTATAGAATGACTTCACTGTCATCTCCAGCGGCTTGATTGGTGCTGGATCCATCGTAGTTCCATTTTGGCAGCTTCGTTGGATCGCTTACTGGTCCTGGTAATGTCTGTTAGCAAAGAAAAATTAATTGATTTTTGGTTATACTAATAATAATAAGAGAGGATACAATAAAAAGAGATCATGTAAATATTATTACTTTGCCTTTGCTTCTAAGGTCCATTCCAGACCCACCGATCCTGTTGTTACGAAAACAGAGTAAAAAATGAGAAACACACAATTATGTTGTAAACAGAGACATGCAAAGAAAGATTATGCAAAATTCACAATCTATATGATATTTTAAAATGCCCATTTAGGTAATAACATGATGCAAATAGACGATTAGGGAAACGATCGAACCATATGTATTCAGCGATGATTTGCTTTGTATCTGAGAGATTGAGGTTTAGGAGCTCTGAGAGAGGAGACATCATTTTTTTTTCTTGAGAGATGAAAAAAGACGATCTATTAAACCAGTCTGAGATTTGGCTATCTCTGACTCACTTTGCAGTATTTTTATAGAAAGCAAGCGGCTAATTCTCTTGAGATCCTATTTTTACTATTTTCCAAACAATATCGTTGATCAATGACACAAATTTACAATGTAATATATTTATCAGCAATCAGAACAATATTTGTGGATGAAAAGCGATGCATGGAAGAAAGGAGAAGATGACACGTGTTGAAGCTCAAGCCATTGTACACGACATGTATCACAGGAACAGACTTTTTCAAGTGGACAAAAAGTTTCAAACTCTCTCTCTTTGTCCTTCCCCCAGAAAAGATCTAAACAAACAGAAGCTGATACAAAAATTAGTCATATAGTCCTGAAACAAGCACAGAAAGAAATCAAAGCTTATGTGCTATTGGCTTACATGTAAGCATTTCACTAAACACTCATATTTTTAGTAGTTTTCAGCTACGGGTCTAGAAGGAAAGAGGCGCAAAAGAAATGTGATAAGCGACCAGAGACATATAACAGCTAGAATTTGCAGAGTCACAACCAAACCAACGAGCGCAACTCCTCTCTCTGTGATTTCTACAGTCGTTGACGCATCTTTCATCATAAACATCAGCCTCTGAACAAAAGTGGCTGCTCTTGTCACCTGATACAACCTATACACCTGCCATTTACATAGTTACTCAGACTATAACATCATGGTCCAATGCTTGCGCTAATACATGGTTTCTCAAACAAGAAGTTGGGCAGACAGAATGGTCCAAATCAGTTTTTACCTCAAAGACTATCGGAACAATGGGCCAACATGATGAGCCGCGTCTTTCAAGCTGAGCTTCGAAACCTCTTTGAACCGCACAGCCAACCAAGAACGGAAGCACTGCAATCAGCGCATCTATTCCGAGAGCTGGCCAAGTCATGTATACAGCAAACAAGGGAACTACAACTTTTAAACCCATCATGAGAAACGCAGATATAAGGTATCCTCTCAGTCCAGTGATCAGACCCCATCTCTTGGAGCTGAAGTCTAAGTACGGCCTCTGCACTCGGTCAGTCACAGACAGGAATATCGCAAGACCAGCATAAAACGTCGTCTCAAAGCAGAAAGAAGTAATTATCTCTGCATCAAGAGAATATAAAGTTACAAACCTGATAAGAGAAGAGAGTGCATCAAAATGTGTTCAAATGAGTATCATATAAATAAGATGGCTTTAAGAGAGCTAAGAGACCTCCTGAACAATTCTCAAGTAAACTTTTGGTTCATCTTTAAGGTTTTGTTCAATGCGTTCTTGATTGTAATCAGCAACAATTTTCAAGATCAATAAAAGGATTTTGTAACTGCACATCAGAAATCAGGTTCTGAAGCTAACAAAACCTCAAAGTCAGATATATCATTAAGATAGCTTCTACTCTTCTTCTCCCTAGGGTTCATAAAAGTTATACTTCCGATGTTAACACTCGAAAGCCATGGATAAAATCTAAAATTTCAAAACTTTGAAGCAGTGTAGTGGAATACTATTATTACTTACCTGCAAAAGTGTCGTTTTTGAACGTAGCTTCAATGGCAGCACTTAGAAAGAACTGTGGAAGAATCAACGACGATATCAACACAACAGGAGCCAAAATCCACAAGAAGGAACCTTTCTCCTCTTGAAACGGAGCTGAAACCAGTTTACTTTCTTCAACCAGCTGATGAGTTAGTCCGTTGAACGAAATAGAACCAGATTTTCCACGGAAGAGTTCAGCTCGAGCATAGTTACTTCTCTTTTCAGATTGATTTGACTCAGGCCTTGATTCAGATCGAGAGGAACATGCTAAAACCCGTCGACTCAAGTTAATTGGTCCTTGCGGTTTGGTCCAAACGAGAGTTTCTGAAGCAACAAAGAAAATTGCAATGAAAAACAAGACAAAGGATCACTCTTTGTGCTTCATTTCAACTTAAAAATGAAAATTTTAGGTGAATCAAGATGATAGATAGATAGATATTTACGTCTTGTATCAGTTTTTTGACGGGTTGCAAATGTGGAAGAAGAACCCTGAAGAGAAATCAAGAGAAATGACAAATTTCTGGATAAGGCTTTAGAAGATATCGAAATTGGAAATCGAAATTTGGATGGTTGATTTTACTTACAGGAGGATGTGAGAGTGAAACTCGAGATGAAAATCGAAGTCTCGGAGGAAGAAACCCTAAGCAAATGGCTTGCAATTCCATTTTCGCAAATTGGTTTTTCTCGTTCTTTCTCAGCAGCTTAAACCCAGAGGCTTTAAAACCTGCTCACCAAATATATCTCTTCACATTTTAACTTTTATAATTTATAATTTTTTCCTCACTTGAATCCACCAAATTACTACTTACTCAGTAATTTTTTTTTAATTATTGTTACTTCAATCCAATTTGGTTATTAACTTACGAACTCTTTTTTTTACTCAGACCATTTTATTAGCACCTCGTGTGGATCTACTGGAGAAGAGAATCAATTAATTTGTACATACATTTCCATGGAAATTGTTAAAGAAGCTTGTGATAATTAATGTATTTTTTTTATTTTTCAATTAATCTTGGAAGCAGAAGCGTTTCTGCTTTTGATTTAGCATGAATTTTAGGTCAAACTGGTGAAATTTACAAACGAGGAGGCTCAGCTAAGTAACCTTTGGAAACTTTAGCATCATTCTACTACACACCCACTTGGTGGTGTTAGCAGCCGTAAGTCCGGCCTTTTTTTCATCATCGCCACCGTATTTTTTTTATCCAAATTAATTTCTGATTTCTAAGCAAAACTCACATAGTCACATCTATGATTAAAAGAAAAAGGAAAATCTTTACCATTGTTTCAAATCACAGAAGACAAGGATTTTTATGTATAGAGGGGAGAAAAGAGAAACCTTTAAATGTTGAAATTCAAATATGAGAAACCAAAAAAGAAAAATCCTGTTAAAACTTTGTACATGCGAAAATCAGATAGAGACGACATCCATTACTTACACACAGGTTGGCAACTCTAGTGGCGACGAGCAAGAAAGAAAAACCCTAATTGTCTTGATGGGTCGTAAAATGGGCTGTATATGTATTCTGGAATGGTCAATAAGCCCACTTATTGGGCCGAAAAGGAAATAGAAAAGGTAACAATGAGCCCAACTATTAATGTGTCGCTGACTTGGCAAATGAGATTAATAATTTTCTTTCTTTTATCCCTGAGATAAGACGTAATCTACTTACCCGGTTTAATCACCATTTCGTCGACGTTGTAGGGCTTCTTCCTTTCTCTGGCCAAAGCTCCGATTATCTTCTTCTCCTTGCTTCTCCCAGAAAGTAATCATGGACGCCGTGACGGCCAATTTGGTTCAATCTCCGACCTTTCTCCGTCGAACCTCCGAAAACGTCTCTGGCTCGATTTTCCTGACGGCAAGCTGTCCTGGGTTCATGCGATTCGGCTCCGGACCTCAATTTCGCCTCAGAGTATGTCCCTGAATCTACTGCGTCTAATTCAATCAACCTAGATTATTGAACAAAATTGAATTTCGTTGCTTTCTAAAATCTCGTGGGTGTGGTGCTTAATCTACTTGGAAACGCCTCATAATCGAGTTTTCTGATATTCGAGTTTGAAACCTAGTCATCTAAATTCGTTGTTTATGCTTACAGCACAATTCTTCTCTTAAAGTCTCGAGACCATTGCAAAGCCGTACAACTTCTGTTAAATCTCGGAGAAGTCTTGTGGTTAAAGCTTCAGCTTCTGGTGATGCTTCAACGGATTCAATCGCGCCACTTGAGTTGAAGTCTCCGGTAGGGCAGTTTCTGTCACAGATATTAGTGAGCCATCCTCATCTTGTGCCAGCAGCTGTTGAACAGCAGCTTGAACAGCTCCAAACCGATCGAGAAGCTGAGGAACAGAACAAAGACGCATCTTCTGTCCCTGGAACAGACATTGTTCTCTACAGGTTTGTTTGTCATATGCCGATTATTATTATTATAAATCCTTCAGTTGCTGTATTGGTTTTGGATTTTTGAATTAGATTGTTTCTTTGGGTGTTTAGGAGAATAGCTGAGGTTAAGGAAAAGGAGAGAAGAAGGGCTTTGGAAGAGATTTTATATGCATTAGTGGTTCAAAAGTTCATGGACGCTAATGTTTCACTTGTACCATCCATAAGCTCATCGTCTAAGGATCCTTCTGGTCGGGTTGATACTTGGCCGGCTCAAGATGGTGAACTCGAGCGACTTCACTCGCCTGAGGTTTATGAGATGATTCAGAATCATCTTTCCATCATTCTTAAAAACCGCGTTGGTGATCTGACAACTGTAGCGCAGATAAGCAAACTCGGAGTTGGACAAGTGTATGCTGCTTCTGTGATGTATGGCTATTTCCTGAAGCGGATCGACCAAAGGTTTCAGCTTGAGAAGACGATGAAGATTCTTCCAGGTGGGTCAGATGAAGGTGAGACTAGCATTGAGCAAGCAGGCAGAGAAACAGAGAGAAGCTTCTATGAAGAAGCAGAAGAGACTTATCAGGCGGTATCCTCAAACCGAGAGGTTGGTTCATTTGTGGGAGGGATCAATGCGAGTGGCGGTTTTAGCAGCGAAACGAAGCAATCCCGGTTAAAGACATATGTCATGTCCTTTGATGGGGAGACTCTTCAGAGATACGCTACAATAAGGTCAAGAGAAGCGGTTGGGATCATCGAGAAGCATACAGAGGCTTTGTTTGGGAGGCCAGAGATTGTGATAACGCCTCAAGGCACGATAGATTCGTCAAAGGACGAGCACATAAAGATCAGCTTCAAAGGACTGAAGAGGCTTGTGTTGGAGGCTGTGACGTTTGGTTCGTTCCTCTGGGATGTGGAGAGTCACGTAGATTCAAGGTATCACTTCGTAATGAACTGAAATGGTCTGTGTGTTTGGTTAGGATGTGCCATTCTTTGGGAGGGTTTGGGGATTTGTAATATATATTGCTCTCTGAGAATTAAGATTCATCAATACCCGTTTTATGGTAAGATACATTTTGTAATCAGTTTTTACGTGATTTTCTCTTCTCACTTGCCTTTCTGTGAATGCATTTATGTAAATTGAAAATTTGATTATCAGCATTTGAAACCGGAGGAATGTAGAAGTTTCTTCGAACAGGATGCTAACGAGCTCACTCTCGCTTCTGGTCAGGTGCAAAAGTTTCATCGGTTCTCTCCGCTTTTGATTATCGTCGTGATGATCTATTGATCTCCAAATCTAATAAGAAAGAGTTTTTTTTTTTTGCTTCCACCAAATCTAGTCTTCCTTTTCTAAGTCTCTTCCTTAAATATATTAATCGTAAAGAAAACATGGTCTCTGATAGATTAAGAAAACCAGATAAATAGAAAGAATACGATTTTTATAAAGAAATTTCAAGAACATAACTTTCCACATCAGAAAATATATTCTCTTTGTTACAACCGAAAACAGTGAAACTAAGCTAACTCTAAATGTCTCTCACAAGAGACTTATTTAAGAAGAAAATAAAATCAAAGAAATAGAAATCTCCAATAATCAGTCAATATATTATTATTTAAATTCTTACTTTTTTAATTATTTAGAACATTATTAATTACAAATTATGATGACGATTTTTTTCCCACGAGATTTGCTACCATCCATTTGAAACACGGCAGAGAACAGAATGTATATCCATACAACTTCATGATGGTTGGGAGTTGACATCGAGACTTACACCCATAACAAATTGGTCGATTTATATGATTATTAAAAATCATATAAATCTCGGATGATTTACTCTCACCTTTCAATTTAATCCATATGAAGTCTCCGAGCGTGCATCTGACATGAAAAGTGATGCCACAATAATTACATGAATAAAACCATTTCTCTGGATTTACTACTTGCTCACATATCTCGCACCAGTACTGCTCACTCGTTTGTTCTCCATAACAAAGAAACAGAAAATGATCTTTATCATTTTTGTGTTTAACCATCTTTGGCAACATAGCACATTTATAGTCTAAAAAAAATCCACACTCGTCACAACTCAGAACCATAGTTGCTTTATCTCCACAAGCACTACAAAATTTGTCTCCTGTGGAATAGTTGATGTACAAGGAATGGAGAGGATGACTTTCATGGACAAAAGGCTCGGAGATAGAACCACATCGCACATCTAGCCAGATTTCTTCATTACCACCTTTGTACAAAAAACCCTGAGAAAAGTTTTGGCAAGCATCGCAGAAACGTACACCGTCAAGTGGGAGTAAAGTCATCACCATCTTGTAGAAGGAATCTATTTTCTTTTTTGGGAGATAAGCACATTTCTCATGAAGAATGAAATCATTACATTCCATGCAACGATAGAATGGGCTAGAAAATATGGGATATGAGCATGCTTTACACCACATGCAATGTTCACTGCTTATTTCTTTGAGCTTTAAAGTATGCTCCTCGTGACTAAAATGCCTTATTACTCCTTTTTCGATCACCTCGTATGATTTAACATCTATAGTATCTTCTGATGTTTCTTCAAGTTCAATCCCATCCCAAATTCCATGCTTTGTGGCACACCTCAAATGAATGGCAAAATCAGGACATTTCAAACAAGAATAAGCCCCACATGTCCAGTTTATCTCTTTGCGACACACTCCACATTTCCAATCTCCTGCGCCAAGGCATTGATTGTAGTAGATACGGTGAACATGACGACTTACTTTTATGATGCGTGGTATGTTCACACAATTTCTATGGATCATGAAATTGCATTCACGACATACATAAGGATTTGGATCGTCATCCATTCCACAAGCATTGCAGACAAAACTTCGCTGCGGCATCAGAACAAGCGGATGCTCATGAGCTTTAGGATTGGCTAGAGTGAAAAGAGGTGGATTTTTTGCACAATTGACATCCACACTGAAGTTGCAGATAGAACAATGATAACACACAATATGAAGTGTGTTTCTACACAAAGAACATTTTCCATCTGTGTAACTAGGAATACGCATGAGACACTTTAAAGGGTGTTTAGGATGACATGAGTAGTTGATCTCTGGTGTGGATTCAGCGCAATCTTTGTGAAAACTCAGATCACATATGTTGCATACATAAGGAAATCGGTCATCAACTAATCCACATAGATGACAAGTAAACTTAATCATCTCAGGAACAAGGGATAACAGATGTTCATGGATCTTTGAACCTTCAACCGTTATTATAACTTCTTTTTTTGCGCATGTCAAATCGATGGCGAAATCACATATAGAACAATAATAATACATTTTTAGCAATTTACCTCTACAAATCTTGCATTCACCATGTGCATCTTCTTTTTCTGCAACCACCTTGATGTGTAATGAATGTTGTGGATGATAGAGGTTTGAAATCTCTAGACTTGATTCGGCACACTCTTTATGAAAGACGATTCCAGAGCGAAAGCAACGATAACCAACGCTGAAGTAATCCTTAACAAGATTGCAACCGTTACATCTTAGCACAGGCGTTATCTGTAGCATATAATATTTTTGTAGTATTTCCATAGATGAAATATATATACGCTTTTAGTTTTAATATTTTCTATGATGTTCTTGTGTTTTGGTTTCATGTAATGATGAGAGCTTTCCTTTCATATATATATAAGTACTTTTTATGTAGAATACGATAATAGATCGCTATATCAAGTTATTCAATTCTTTGTTTACATGTAATGTAAAGGATACTCAAAGAATCATGCTTGTCTTAATATTGATGATGATGATATAAGACTCAAGGAATAAATTCTTGTAAGTTAACTATTCTTTCTTAACATCTTTTGCACAAAAAAAGAAAGAATAGTTAACTTAAACCAATTGTAACACCCCGTCCCTGGGTTCCGAAGGAAACCAGGCTAAACTGGTGGTATTAGCTATCTTAAACCAATAAATTCTGAATAACATCTTATTCTTATTCCAAAATCCAAACCCAAATCCAAATCTTACAATTAAAATGAAATACTGAAAATGAATCCGAATAAAATAGAAAACATTGTCTTAAAAGAAAATATGAAATAGTTCTTAAAACAAATAAAACTTCTTCCATCTCTGAAGGCACACCACACTAGAGCTACTCGTCTAGTTCTTCTCAAACATCATCACAATCACATTCATTAGACTCACCTGCAATATGGATTTAGAAGAGAGGGGTGAGTAATTTGAGAAAATTACTCAGTGAGAACCAAACCAGGCACTCTTTCCACTCGATCATTTCCAACCAATATGACAAGTATAAACCCAACAAGCAACAAACAAGCACTCTAGAAGTGCACCAACAACTATCAAAGAGGCGTCTCCAATCTTGCCAGGTCACACAGACAGGCTCCGCCAGGTCACACAGACAGGCTCCGCCAGGTCACACAGACAGGCTCTACATCGCCAGGTCACAAAGACAGGCACCAGGTCACACAGACAGGCTCAACATTGCCAGGTCACACAGACAGGCTATGTCAGGTCACAAAGACAGGCATGGTGGTTCGTCTAACCACCTGACGATGAATTAATGCCACGGTCACATAGACGGCACTAATCCAGCAATCAATCCGTACCTCAGCACACCTCCACCGAGACGGACAACTGATCTAGCTATTTTTACCAAACACTAACCACAAAGCAGGGTGAACAATCAGATATGATGGTGCTTCCTCTAATGAGAGTCCTAATTCATATTAATTATATATATATACATGGATCTATCTAGATGCACATGAAAACAACCTAGACTTATCAGATCTGGACTTCCCACACCAGAAGAAGATAAAAGAATAAGAAGAAGAACCTAGATCTAATCCTCACCTTAGCAACAAAGCAGATCTGGACACCCGACACGGAAACAGCGATATCTCCCGGCACAAATCTCCGATCCGGATGAACTTAGTCTCTATAGAAAGAAGACACTCGGGGCTTCACTTTGATAGGTTGTACGTCGTGTGGTTCCTTACGGATCGCCGGGAAATTGTCACACAAGACAGCGGCGGTTTCCCCTTCTTCTCTCTTTCTCTCTTTTCTTTGGGTGGCTAGGGTTTTTAGAAGACAAATGAGGCTCCTTCTCATTTAATTCCTTATTTATACTACGGTTGCTGGAGTGGGCTTGGCATTGATGGGCTTTCAACAATTGGGCCGAAATTGGGATGTTACAACTCTCCCCGACTTCCAAGGAATTCGTCCCCGAATTCTCTCCGACTCCTCCGGTTTCGCCCTTGTCCTAAAAGAGCTCCAGGTAATCTTTATGCGTTCTTATTTTGACTCCCAAATTTCCTCGCGGATGCCATCTTTTTCCCAACAAACCTTAACCGACGGCTTCCTCTTACCATTGACCTCCAGTTCTCGAAATTTCAGCATTGCCACAGGTTGATAGGCTGCCGAAAAATTCTTCATCACATCTACTGGCGGCTAAGACAAAATAAGCCCTGGCTCTCTCACAACTTTTCTCAAAAAAGAGATATAAAACACATCATGGAACTCAGCTAACTCTTTGGACAGCTCTAAGCGGTAAGCCACTTCTCCAATCTTTTCAAGGATAGGGTACTGCCCTATTTACCTTGGCTTGAGCTTCTTCATCTTCCGATGGTTACCATTTCCTCTGAAGGTTCTCAACTTCAAATATACCATATCATCAACCTCAAAGGACAATTCTTTCCTCTGCTATCTGAATCTGATGGTAGCTTGATGCTAAACCGATCTTGGAGAACCGTGAAGCTTCTTCTAACTGGTCCAACAACTCATCAATCCTTAGCAAGGATACTTATTCTTGATGGTCATCTTGTTCAAGCCTCTCTAATCGAAGCAAAAATCGAAAGCTTCCATCTTTCTTCTTCACAAAAAAACACTGGTGCTCCCCACGGTGAGCTATTTGGCCGAATATATCCCTTATCCGTCAAGTCTTCCAATTGCTTCTTCAGCTCAGCCATCTCTGCCGGTGCCAACCGATATGGAACCTTCAAAACAGGGACTGTCACTGGTTCTACTTCAATAGTGAAGTCAACTCCTCTCTTGGGCGGTGGTCCCGTCAATGGCTCAAATACGTCCGCGTATTCATTTGCCATAGGTATCTCCTCGAGGCTTTTATATGCTCCCTCTCCAACCATGGAAATTGTTGCCAAGAAAGGTTCACATCCTTCCTCCATATCCCGTGTCGGCCTTCACTCCTTGAGAGACTTTCCGACCTTCTTGATGCAGAGCATAAGCCCTCGACTTCCGGCAATTCAGAACAACTTCATAATATTTCAGCCAATCTATTCCAAGGGTAACATCATAGTGGCCCAACTTTATTTCCACTAGAGTCCAAAGAAACTCTGCTCCTTCCATCAAGATAGACTCATCCTCATAGATACCAATGGTCTCCACCTGCTCACTTCCAGCAGTTCCCACTGCTTTAGACCTGGGGGTGAACTTCCCATAGAAAGTTCAACACTTGGCCAACCCCGGGCTCACAAAGCTACTTGTGGCACCGGTGTCGAACAAGGTATATGCAATCGCGCCTACCTACCGAAACCGATCCTAGATGATGTGTACTTATGACTAGTTATGCATTGCCTTCTACATTCCTATTCACAAGCAACATATAAGATCACACAACATTACTTACCAGCGATCGGCGCTGCTCTCTCAGGATCTCCAACGGCAAAAACACGAGGTCCAACAGCCTGCCTCTTAGCTGGTGGCGTTGGGAGCAATCCCGGTGCTGCTTTCACCCCCTCCTGGTTGCTCAAATCCGCCCTGCAGTCCTTCAGGGTGTGTCCATACCTTCCACAGCGCTGACACTTGCCATACTTTGCATTTGCTGGGCACTCCCTCTCTATGTGGCCCAAACTACCACACCCATAGCACTTAGCCACACCACACCTTCCTATGTGCATTTTTCCACAGCGCTGACACTTTTGAGCTCTCACCATTGTTACCGAAGCTGCTATGTCATCCCAGGTCCTTTTTGGTGCTTCCGGAATTCGAGATGGTCGAGCTTGAGCTTGAGCTTGCCTAGCTCTCCTCAGCTCCTCTAAATTGGTTTCCTGAATGGCAGCTGTCTCCACCAGCTCCACCAAGGTCGAATACCTCCTGACAGAACATCTGCTCTTCAGCTCTAACCTCAAACCTTTCATGAATTGACGGACTAAGTCAGCCTGTGTGAAGTGCTTCCTGGAGAATCTCCTCAACCTATTGAACTCCTCCTTGTACTCTCTCACAGAGAGGTTCTCCTGACGCAGATCTTCAAAGGCACTCTCCATCTGATCCAAGGCTTCGGGCGGAAAGTACTCTCCAGCAAATGCTTCCTTGAAATCATTGTAGGTTAACTCATAGCGACCCTGAGTTGCTTCCACTACACCTTCCCACCATATCAGCGCCTCTTCCTTCAGGTATTGCACGGCTAAGTCTTTCCGGTAACCCTCCGGACATCTCATGGCTTCAAAGTTCCTCTCCAGCCTCTTTCTCCAGTTATTAGCAAACACTGGATCAGATCTTCCACCAAAGGCTTCCATCCCCATATCCCTCATATGTTTCATGGCCTGATAATACGTCAGACCAGACTCATTAGCAGGCATTGGGGGAGGCGGAGGTACATGCTGCTGCTGAGCAAACACTGGCGGCACAATCACAGGTGGCAGCACAAGCATGGGCGGCGGAGGCACATTCTGAGGCTGAACAAACACTGGTGGCAGCACATTCTCTTGCTGATGCTGCTGCTGCTGGGCATTCACACCCACCTCAGGGTTCAAGTGACCATACATCTCCTGATAGCGGCGCAACTCCTCCAAGACTGCAGCATGGGTTGCGGCTGGCACTTGAACAGGCACATTTCCAGCAAAATTTCCACCCTGCTGGTCCACTGGGGCTGGCGGTGGGTTACGTTGTTGGTGCACTGGAACTCGGTTCACACTTCCTCTCATGCCAGTGGTGTCCTCCTCCTCACTGGAGCGACGAGCTTGGGATCTGGTGCGCACATTCTTTGCTTTCGGAGGCATCTTCATTACAAAACATAAAGGCAGATAAGTCAGTCTGGTCCCGTAAAGACTAACTTCCTGCAAATAAAACAACAAACAAAAAAAAAACTAGAGAGGCTAATCTAGGTGGTGTGTTTCTTTTTTTTTTTTTTAAATCCGAAATTAACTTTTTTTTTTTGAAAATTAAAATTATTATTTTATTTTAAATCCAAAAAATATTAGAAAAATATTTGAAAACTTTATTTTTTTTGAAATCCGATTCCCAACCCCACTACTCTAGACTTAACACTCTCTCTTTTTCTAACTCAAACCTAAGCTCTGATACCAATTGTAACACCCCATCCCTGGGTTCCGAAGGAAACCAGGCTAAACCGGTGGTATTAGCTATCTTAAACCAATAAATTC